TAACTAGTGAAAAATCAACAGAAGAAATATATTTGGGTAGATATGAGACAGCGCATCAAGTAAAAGCACAGACTAAAATTCTAGAGCACAGAGAAAGTTTGTTTATAATCATTCAAAGAATAAAGATTATATTTCAAGGATAAAATTAGAGGAAAGTAGTAAAAGAAAAGAAAAATGGAGACAATGGAATTACTCGAATAGATACGCAGAGTATGTCAAAAGGTTTGTTTTTAACATTTCTCAGTTATATAAGACAGAGAACTGTCAGTCACAATTGAGGATGAAGTAGAAGATATTGGGAAACTGAAAAAGTATTTTGAAGCAATCCTTTATAAAGAAAAGTAGATAAGGGATAATTGATTTATGGGTCTTGCCCCAAATAGTAAAAACACACTTTTAAATGTCAGATTAAGTGTTAAAAGTGTACTATTCCAACAGACATTCTAAACTGGGTAGTTTCTACAGTAGTGTTTTGTTTTTTTTAAAGAAAGCATTACACCGTATAATTCGTAGTGAGCTTAAGAAACCAAATTTATTTCCCATTCACTTTATGTCTTTGATTTTCAGGTAGAGAGAGAGTGTGTAGGTGTGCTACATTTGATATGATATCTTTAGAAACAAACATGCAAGTTTGTTTTTTTTTTACACGAGAGGTTGGAAAACAGATTATTGATACGTTCAGGATTTTATATTTCCATCTAGGACAGGTTATTATCAAAATTCTACATGTACCAAATTAATCACAAGGAAGCCTGAAAATACAGAAGAACATTTAACACATGGAAATAAAAGCATTCCTCTTTTCTCTAATGCATAAAGACACATATGAGACACAAACTAAGAAACTACTAGTAAAGATTATTTAACTATTAAATTATTAAAGAGAAAGATAATTTAAGTTATACTAATGGAGTTAGGACAATTATTAAGCCTAAATACTAGCCTTAAAAGAAAAGATAGATAGTTTTAATTTGTATCAATTACTATAACAAAATGAACAAGGATGAGTAATGAATGAAGAAAACTATGTTTTATCTCATATTTCTGTAACCAAGAGTATAGTGGTAGCTCTTAGGAACTGCCCACATGTCTCCCAGCTTGCCTTAACTGACTCAGTGGCAGCAGGTATATATCATCACCAGCCTCCAAATACCACACATGCACCCTTTAAAATGTCCCCACCATCATGGCCTACTCTCTAGCTAGCTCTCTTGTTTTCTCTTTCAGATTACTTATCTCTGTTTTGCCCCTTCTCAGAGGTGGCCTTTAGTCATCCCTTCATTTTCCTGCCATAAAACTCCAGTGTGAGATCTGTTGCATGGTGTGTTTTCTGCAGCATTACTTGCCTCGGTCTTCCCTGATATTCTACTGCCTAAACCATAATATTGGTGCCAAGACTAGGAAGGATATCCTGGTGCCTTAGCTGCTCCCTACTCGGGGGGTCCAAGCTGCTATATTAGGACTCCACCCCTTTTCTCCAGTCCTCCTTATCTTCTGGTTCACCATTCGTTTCACACCCCTGTCTACAGTGGCAATTGATAAATTTCCCATTTCTTTGATCTAAATGATTTCCTGGATCTAAGGGAGTGATGTTTGAGTGACTGGCACCCTTCTAGTATTCTTGAAAGCAGAGGTACCCCCAGCAAGAGTCTGTAATGCTACAGTAGACACTCTTAAGACACACCAGTTTCAACAGTGGGGTAAGCAATCATAAACCTAATAGTTAAATAAAAATATAATGGCTTTCCACCAAAAACTGCCTTGGGACTAAGGAAAGTGTCTTTGTAGCCATTTATTTCGTAGTCTATGAACACATTCAGCTGATCAATCGTCACATTAAAAATGAGGGTGAGTTTGTGCCTGTAAAGCATACTTTTTAAATACTTAGGCTTGTTGCCACACCAGAGTCTTCTTCTGAGCTCTGGTCAGAGAAGCATATTTTCACTTCCAGTGAAAAGACTCATAACAGAGACTCATAACTGTTCAAAGTGCTGGGAATCAGTGACCATTGAATGCTGAGCCTTAGACGGGTTGTCCACACATCCTTCAAAAGCTTACAAAGCATCTCTGAAGAGGTGGAAGAAATAATTACAGAATAAGAAGACAGGGTGGAACATTGTCAACAGTTGCCCTTTAGGAAGACATATCCATTGTACACAAATCGGCTGATTATCAGTATAAGGCTTGCACAAAATTGGGCCCATCAACATTCCTTCGTGGGTAAGGAAGGTGATCAAAAGGCTCTAGTGCTCACTGAGAAGTTACAGACAGTTCGTTGTTGCTGAGAGAGACATTTTTTTCCACTGGTAAGTCATTCATGATCCTATAAATATCTCTCATCTATACTCACATTAACAGTCCTAATTATACTCATTGCATCACCAAAAAGGGAGTTGGAATACACGAAAGTAAAATAGGAACTAGTGAGAAAGAAGGAGACCAGAAAGGAGAAGAAAAAAGGACATTAAGGGAAAAACAAATAATTTCAAAATATATTATGTACTTGTATGAAAATGTCTTAATGAATCTTATTATCAGGTATAATCAATATACAGTAACAAAATTAGGATCTATCTATATATACCTACATATATTACATGTAATTAATCTTTGATATTAAAAGCGACTTCTAATTTCATCACATAGTTATGAAGAAATAGTGATTTTCTGTCTTTCAAAGATATCTAAGATGAGTCATAGCTCCAAGAATAAGTTCAATATATACCTTGCAGTAAAACAGTCCATGACATCAAGCAACTCCTCTATATCGTATTGGTAAAAAACAGAACAGACACAGCTTCATGAATTTGATCTGAGAGCACAATTTTTGCCCAGTAACAGCATCAGGAAGTTGCTGCTCTGTTAAGTTTAGTTTAGTTGAGGGCTAAGATCCTGCCAAGGGTAGGTAAATCCATATGACAGAACATCTAGAGATTAGGTCAATATAGTATACACAGAACAAATTACTCACCCTTGATCATCATCTATGTCTTGTGGTTTACACTATGATAATATTGAATGAATTACAAAGAAACAATTGATTTCAGATTCTGATAAAATTGCCTTCTGTCTATGGTGCAGAAATATGTTAAATTATTTAGCTCAGTCATATCTAGGTTATATGAACTCAGTAATGCTTTGGTGGTATTCTTTTTAAAGAAGTAAACAAACAAGGTGTTAGAGAAATTGAAGGGTGTCAGAGGATCATAAGTAGATTAATATTGAAAATTTATCTGAAAGTTCAAATTATGTGGTAGGACATATTTTTAATAAGGGCTTTCTAATAATTTTATAAATCTTACAAATACTAATTTAAAATGCCAAACCATTGCTTCTGTGGGTTGTTAGCAGTCTTACTACTAGTTGATTACATATAGTACATATATATATATATTAAATATCTTACCAAAATTGACGCAAAAAAATTATAGAACAGGTCTTAGTCCCAAAATAACTAGGCTGATGTTAAACACAGAGATTTGCCTGTCTCTCACAATTCAAGTCCTGAGATTAAAGTCTTGTGCCACTTCTACCTGCTACTAAAATAACATTTAATTAAAGAAATTATTTCATTAGATGATTGAGGCTTCCTCAGCTATAAACTGCCATAGAAACGATCTTGAACTACAGTGTGATACTAATTAACATTTTCATTGAACATGTAAAGGTGAGGAAATTTAACACCTATAAATATCACAAGTGTATTGCTAACTGTATAACTTAATAGGTAAATTGCTTGCTGTCAAAATATGGGCTGAAAATTTTAGATTCTGAAACAACCAAAAAGAAAAAAAATTCTGATTAACTTAGTTATTTTTAATTTGTGCCAATGTCTCTGAAGTGACTGCAAACTGGATTACAACGTGTTGCCTAGTGGAAGGAAAATTCTTGATTTGTCTCAAGAATCAAATCAGAATTTTTCACTCAACTTAGAAGATACAGCATGCTTCAAAGTAAAGTGCTTTCCCCTTTCATTAGCAGCAAGAAGACAAGAGCATACACTTTATTATCCCTAAAAACATGTTTTGCAATCTGTGTTTCAGTCACTTTACATTTAAGTTCCTTGCCAGAAACTTAAAAGTCAATTAATTAAAACTTTATCAACAGTTATATTATATATTCAGCAGAGGAACATTTGAAATCATTGTGTTTTGTCATGTAGCTATTGCTTTCCTTACAGTTTATGTAACTGTCGAAATCTTAAGGCAATTACTAATTACATATTACTCTAAAGTTTTGATTATTTATATTATAATATAAGCTATATATTTTAATAATTAATAATTGATGATAATACATTAATATATAATTAATATAATAAACAGTGATTATATATATATATATATATATATATATATTTCTCTCTCTCCCTCTCTATCTTTTTTTTGAAACTGACCACAGCTTAGGTGTCTTTAAACTCTGTAATTAAAACTTTGGCTTTCTTGCACTGTGAGCTGACTTTCACATTGCCTCATCTCCAGCAGCATAGCTTAGGTTTACTGTCTTCCCCACTCTCTTCCTTCCAGGCATCTGCAAGAGCACAGCTTACTAACCATGTGGTTGCTTTCTGAACTATAATTAATTTCCCTCAAGCCTCTTTTAGTATCTTTGTAGCCTTTGAGTTTTTGTTAGTGAGTGTTCTTAAATTCTTCTTTTAATGTAATGAAGTACAGCTTCCTGATTTTCCAGGTATCAAATAGTGATGGCTGAGATACTCCAAGACTCTTTCCTGACATCTAATTCTTTACTTTGCAGAGAAGAGGGACTTCTAACTGAACCAGCAGACAATATCAGACCAATAATATTTCATATAAATATTATCAAACTTTTCCAATTTAAGATTTATTATTCATTATGAAAGTAACCTCAATTTATAAACAAAGCGACTTTCAAAATTCACAATTTTATTACAGTATTTTATTTTATGTAAAATTTAACTGTAATAGTGATATGGAATGTTAAATCCAATAAATGTGTAGATTATGTAATTGCTTTTAAATGCAAAGAAAAAAAGCAGCAAAATTCTATTTTGTTTACAAAGTTACTCAAGCATAGGGATACTGTTACAGCTTCTGTAGGATGATAACAAATTATTAAATAATATAATTAAATAAATTAGGTTTCAGTTTTTCAACATAACAAAGACATGCAAAATAAATACAATATGCATAAAATACTTGTTTTTAGTCCATGTACTGTTTGATAAATTTCTGCTGTACCTTTGACAATATTCAAAGAAAATCTGTCCTGATGTTCACAACAGTTACAACAGTAACAAATACTTTAGCAGGAATCCCAAACTTCAAACACAATGTTTCTGCCAGCCAAGAGAATGCCAAGGCTCCAAACAATGTACTGTTTTCTTTGTTTGACTCCATCAGTGTTTTTAAAAATGCAATTTCGACCTAATTTATTACTAGTCTCTGATGTGATAATCTTGCTTTTGAAGTCCTTTCTGATAAATTCTGTGAGTTGCTTTTCTTGGCATACACATAACTGTAAGCAGAAGTGCAGAACTGTGACCCTGCTCCATTCCATGTCCAGTTTGATCCGCTCTCCTTTGATTAGTTTCATGGATCACTTGTGGTTTCAGTTTGTATTTCCTCTCATTCTGCTCTTATATTTGCAAATACTGTTTTTTCTTGGGTGACCATGTATGTTGTACTGTTTCTTCCTGCTGGGCTTGAGTGAACATCTCCCTATAGTTAATATACAGACTGGAATTTTTATGAAGTAGAATAATGCTAATTCAATTGCTTCTGTTTGTGTTTTGTCAAGTCCAGGAGTTCAAGTTTTGAACCAGGGTATAAGTATCATAAATTAATGTTTTTTTTCTAAAGGAGTATTTTGTCTTTTATCATTCTTTCACTATGGTGGCCAAGAAATCTCTATTCAGGGCAAGCAGAAATTGTTGGTGGTGAAGAATTAATTTTTAAGGGAATGCAGAATTAGACTGATTAGCAAAGAGAACTTGAAGATTATGAAGTAGTATATAAACAGTATACACGGCATTAGAGTCAAGAAAAAGGGTTCTGGGGGAAAGTCTTCAGACACATGCTAGGTACATTTGAAGGCAGCACTGTGGGATCTCACACAAACATTGCTGTAGTAAATGAATTCTCTAGAACTCTGCTTCAAGATTCTAGGTAAAAGTGTTCTGAAGCATGCTTCCCCAGCAGCACTTCTCCCAAGATCCACTTCTTTATGCTGAGAGTGTCTTTGGGTCACTATGTAATAACCACTGTATATTACAACAGTCCTTGCCCTAAGTATAGACCACACTCTAAAATCTAGAGTGGTTTTGATTCCCAGATATCACACTGCTCCAGTACCCAGTCCTTACAGTGGACAGAACACGTATTCCAGGGACTGTTTAGACCCACTGGGTTTCTCCACATCATTATAAGGAAATATGGAAGACAGTATGGAATCTCAGAATATACAGCCCTACTGTTCCTGCGGTTCTGTTCTCTACTTGCTCTTTCTACTCTCATCGCTAAGTCTGTGTTCTCATTAAATAATCTCCGTGATTCTTCCAGGAGCCATAGCAACAGAAACAGGATGAAAAATGTGTAGTGTTTGCCTGAAAGAAAGGACCACTCAACGTTTAAAACCATATTAATTTTCACTTAGGTAGTAATTTTTCTGGATTTTATAAATGAGCATATCAGGACTTGACACTTTGTTTTGTTAAATATAAAATATATCATTCTTTTGGTATTCAAATAAGTTTATTTACTCCCCACACCCTCTTTATCATTTTCTTCCTGTTGTGCATATTTTTCTTTGTCAACCCATCTTTCCCCACACAATAATTATCCAGACTATAGTGTTAAAAAGTAATTCAGCAGTATTTTTTATCTCTTTTACACTGAGTAACTTTCACATTTATTTGGGTTTGTTATTTAAAAATGAGAAAATACTTTAACAGTTTCAAACATAAGTTATCAAAACAGAGATCAGCCATAAAAAACAAGAGATTTTCATCATCATCAGAAATAATTTTATTGTTATCTATTTTAAAGCAATTCAATAAAACTAGTAGCAAAAAATGGCACATAGACAATAAACCAAACCAATTCTCAAAGGGCTAAGAGCACAGTTACTTCATGTTTTATTTTCATGTGCAAGTGTAATCATTTTAAAAAGGCAACAGTTTGTTGAAAGTCTTTAATAAGCATAATTTATTCTTTAAATAATTGGAAAGACTATAAACTATTATTTTATATCAAGCAATATTAATTCGGTCAAATATTAAATTTGGGCTAATACTAATCAAAAATAATTATTTTAAAATTTATGAAACAAAATTTTTATAGGAAATATAGTCATATCCTAGCTTAAAATTCCAGTCTTAGCAATTGTCATAATGTAAAAATACTAAACTTCATGGCTCATTGGGAAAGAGAAGACATTTAAAATCTGACATTTATTCCTAAAAGAACTGTAATGGAATAAAAGAAAAGTCAATCAAAAGAAATATCTTACTTAACTACTGATATCCAAATGTGAAATAAGTCAGTCTATTCAGTCTGTTTTATCTATTGCACACAATAATTCAATCCTGCATCCAATTTTAAATATCATGTGGAGTTTTTCAATTGTATTTCACATAGATAACATACACACATTTGCATACAATCATGACTTTTGAAGGCATGCTCTCAATTTGAAGTCACTTACTCAAACCAATCCTCTTTGAAGACTAAAGCATCTCTCTATTTTGAGGGAATCCTTCATGCTTTTCTTATTCTAAATTATGGGTAATGTAAAGTACTGGTAATAAAAAATACATTCTATATTTTCCTGTCAAATGGTAAAATGACTAGAAAATTTGATTTCACATTTAATGTTTGCATTTTTTGTATAATTATTTGGAGGATATTAGGTTTCATTTTCCTAAAAGAGTTTATTTTCCCTTTCTGTGATCTGTTTCATTATGATTAGGAAGGAAAAACATCCATTTCATATATGGACTATTTTAGGTTGCAAGTGTCATGCTCATGAAAAAAATAAATCAATAGAAATCATAATTTTTGTTTTTAAAATGTACCAGTATATCTGTCATGGGAACTCTTTATTACTCTATTTGATTTGGCAAAGTGTGTATACATTTATTCTCTCATAAGTTTTGCTGTATTTATGACGAGAAATAATAGGGAATAAAGACAAAGTTTTATTTTAAAATTATCTGTCAAATGCTTAATAATTCATATTAAAATTAAAATAGAAGAAATATGTATATTAATGATAATTTCCTTATAATGTTGAATTATAATATGTTTGATTATTTTTATATTAAATCAGATTTTAAGTGTAAGTCTTTAATATCAAAGATATTTGGAGAATGCTAAAGGTTTTAAAGTGTTCCTGTGGTCGATAAAATGTATAAATACTCTTCTTTTAAACTTGAACCCATTTTCTTAGTGAAATCTTCTATATAGCTTAATGAAAAATATTAAAGCCTACAGTAATAGAAGACATCACTGCCCATCTGATATTTATGGAAGATATTCCAGTTCTCATACTCATATTAACTGAAAAGATATGTATTGTTTTCTCTATGTAAGGTATTTTTTAGAAGAAAAAATAATTCTTTTCTTAAGTAAATGTTTGTCAGCATAAAATATGCCTTATATATGAAGCTACCAAAAAGCCCAGATGATTAATAGGTCTTTGTGTTTTAGTTTCTTCTGAATATTTAAACATGCTATGGATATGATAGCTTCTAAAATGAACACAATAATATATGGACAGACAGACATAAATGACTCTAAATATCTATTCTGAAGAAAACTATGATTCTTAGACTGCAGTCACCCACAGAAGTTAGTGATTAATCTCTGGATAGAGATAAGCATACATTCTTATTGGGCTCAATTTTAGAAACAGCAAAGTTAAACAATATAATGACCTATTTAATTATAAGGAGAAAAGCAAACTTCAGTGCCATTGTGATACACTGAATATAGGTGGATTTCTTTGTTTTAATAGTCTTAGTAATGTTTTAAAACAGGATGCATACAATTCTGATAGTTCTTGAACAGTTAAATATCAGATTTTAACTTCTGTATTTTATAGGCATTTTCAGAATCCCCCACTGATGAAATTTAGACTAAGCAGGGAAATGTCAATAAATACCGTATTAAGTTCCAAATTGAATACATTCCAGTCAGTTTTGTAGGGCCGTCTACAATATTTCCATGATTTCAAGCAAGATCCATGTAGGGAAAAATAAGGTCCCTTATTTTCTTTTCATCAGAGTTGAGTTTCCTCCCGGGAATCTTGAACAGCAACATTGCAGATGCTGTTTTTCCTACTGGGTTCACTGTTTGGAAGGTAAGACAGTGGATCTGGTCGGATCAAGTATCTACCAAAGGAAAACAAAGCAGGAAGCTATATTAGTAAATCAAGGTAACCTTAATTCAGGGTGTCACTAGAAATATTCACTAATTATACGTTCTATCTGTAAGTTATCTAAGATGTTACTTTATAAATAACCAACAGAAAGGCTCACTGTAATTAGCCTGATATGATTATATGGCAGGTACTAATGAATGAAGTATTGCTCTTTTCAATTATGATGCTTAAATTGGTTTAAGCTCCATAATTTACTTATCCTTTCTACCTTGTACCATGAATACTGGCTACATTCTATTAAGATCTACATCATAACCATCATTAGATCAGTACTTAGTTACTATTCCACTTATTTATATCATTCATGCAATTAAGAAATTATTGTAAAGCCGGGTGGTGGTGGCGCACCTCTTTAATTCCAGTACTTGGGAGGTAGAGGCAGACAAATATCTGTGAGTTTGAGGCCAGCCTGATCTATAAGAGCTAGTTTCAGGACTGCTCTAAAACTACAGTCAAACCCTGTCTTGAAAAACCAAAAAAAAAAAAAAAAAGAAAGAAAAGAAAAGAAAAGAAAAAGAAAAAGAGAAAAAGAAAAAGAAAGAAATTGTTGTAGATGGGTGGAAAGAATTTCCAATTTATGAAGTTCAGTATCATTATGGAAAATATTATTGCTAGATAACATTTTCATTATTTAGAAAATTGTTTGTCTGGTATTATTAACATAATAATACTGAAATATATAGGCTAATTTATATGTCTTTACTTATTTATGTTTGTCTATTGGTGTCATTTCGTCTAATTTTCTAGTCCTAATTGGCCTGGAACTTGCTATGTAGGCAAGGCTAACTTCCAAAATATGGTGATATTTTTGTCTCTTTCTGGAACTTCTATACTTAAGTACAAGAACCACCATGTTATTCTTTAAAAATCATTATTAATAAGTTCTAGGAGTATATAAGAAAATGTTCATTTGAAAAACTCAAATGTTTCAATAATATTTGGATTTGCCTGAGAGGAAGGGTTCTTCATGCTGTGATATCATATTTGATTAGTAGATGCTACCAGTTCAGTATACCATGTGTGTGTGTGTGTGTGTGTGTGTGTGTGTGTGTCTGTCTGTCTGTCTGTCTGTCTGTCTGTCTGTCTGTCTAAATGACCTCTGTTCTGCAGAAGACTATAATGTAACATATGGAGCAGATGTAAAGAAGAAAATGGATTCAAAACAGCCCATAAAAACAAGACAACCAGATAATACTTTATTAAAGGATTTGGGTTTAATCTTTTTTTAAAAAAATAGACTTGATTTTTTTGGGTTTTTTTTGTTTTTTTTATTTATTAAAAATTTCCCCCTCCTCCCCACCTCCCATTTCAAAAGAAGGAAGATGATGACAAACTAACTTAAATAGGGAGGGACAGACACAAAGGAAGGACTGTTCCTGGTATACTTTTAAAAAGTATTTTAACTAAATATCTGGTTAGAACAAAGAGTAGTGGTAGTTAAAGTCAGAAATAAAATCAACACAGAGATAATGAAGGTTATTAAACCATGGCTTTCTAGACTAGTCATGTTTCAGGTGAAAATGAAAGGAGAAATCCATGTTACTATAATATCATTACAAAAAGTAAAAAAAAAATCAGGAAACTAATTTAAACACAAGTACCTAACATAGTTGTATCTTTTTAAAATGCAGGTGGAAAAATATTCATATGGTACAACATAGTAAGTATGATGAGTGAAACCTGAAAGCACCTCAGTCCAGTTTCTTCAAATGAAAGTTTAAATGAGTATTCTTGGATCTATTAACAGAATTTCACTGTGTGTGCACACTGCTTCTAATTGCTTAAAATTTTAATAGCATTGTAGATCAATGAAGAAAACTAATAGCAAACCTCAAGCCATTTAACGACTTTTCATCTAGTAATTTATTATTTTAGAATCAAATTAATGTTGCTCTTTCATTTGGAATAAACTTCTAGAAGCAAAATTTTAGAAAGAAAGCACAAAAAGTACAAGTACAATTCACTATCCACTAAATCCACTGATGTTGTGACAAACACTGCTTTCTATAATATTATATTATTTCTATAATATTATCACTGCAAGTCAGAGTTTGACAGAGCACATTCCTTTGGCGATCCTTTGCTATATACCATGGAAGGTATTAGAATGTGCCATAGCTTGAGTTCTACTAGGCCTTCTGTCAGGGCCACAAATACAGTCACTGCAATAGTGTGAGGAACATATTTTTGTGGCACTTAACTTGATGTTTTGCTTAAATTTAATAAAAATCAGAGTGTTCAAAGAGTAGGAAACTCCTTTCAAGCATTCCTGGTTTATTGTATGCTTTGTAAATAAATGTTCTAGTTATAGCCTCGAAAGTTAAATATTTCATTTGAAGTATTAAACATATATATGTATATATAATGCATGTGTACATACATATATAATATGTGTGTATAATGTTACTGTAATACAATTTATCCTTTATTATATTTTTTCAAGGAAGAAATAGAATAGCAAAATGGTAAATACTTTGTGATATGATTTACTTGAAAATGTGCTAGTAAAAAAAGCAACTAAAGGTAGAATGTAGACTAATGAATAAGTACAGAAGTAAAAGTAAGGGGATAAGATGATAGAGATGGATAGCTTAACTCATCTATGTGCATTATTCCTTAATGCACAATAATAAGATCCAAAATTGAATTGTGATAACTTCTCCATTGCCATGGGAAATATTTAAAGACATTAGCTTGTATATCTTAAATGTATGAATTGTATGCTTATGTTATTCCAGTAAATTATTTAAATGTATCTTCTTTTATATTATAAAGACATACAGAGTAATAAAAATTAACTTTTACAAGATAAAAGAACCCAAAGAATACAGGAAGAAAAAGAAAATTTGCAAATGAGATAATAACAAGGCACAAAGCTTTGCCAGTCAAAGAATAATTAGCAAAGTATAAACTACAAAATGGGAGATGGATTTTGAAGTACTCATTCAACAAATAATATAATATCTAGAATATAGAGAGAGTTCAACCAATTTAACAATAGCAAAATCACAAAGGTATTAATGTTATTAAAAGTCAACAAATTACCTGAAACAATTCTCATACAAATTCCTGGTAATAATAAAATTTTTTAACAACATTCAATCATTAGATGAATACTAAACAAAACAGACTGATTATTGTCTCATATATTTTGGACTGACTATTATACAAAAGATCAGAGATAAAATATTGTTAGAGATATAGAAAAGGAAATATTCATTCACTATTGGTACAAATTTTAGTTAGAGTACCCATAATTAAAACAGTATGGAAATTCTTTTTATGGAACTATAAATAAAAACGCATGTGATTCAACAAACTACTACTATGTATATAAAGATAATTAATCAAAGAAATCAATAAGAACTTTATGGTTAATTATACCATGTATTAAATCACACTAACTGACATTTATAGGATATTTACTCCACCATTTGCTTCTCAACTACTTCTCAACATAAAGAAACTTCTCCAAGATAGACTGAATTTTAGAAGACAACACAAGTATAAAAGCGAAGCAAAAACAAACCCCACCATATTTTGTTGTTTTTCTATCAGCAGAGTGGCAGTACCTGAATCTATAGCTGTTTCAATCAGTAATTGTGGTCCTGCCATTATTGTTCCACTTCTCTGGTAGCCAGTGTGGGAAATTTATATCCTGTTTGTCCTGCCTTCTGCTGCTGCCACCAAATGCAGTTTTCAAGCAAATCTCTTTAGTTCTATTTATCAATAGGACTAAGGGGTTGAGGCTGAGGTGAAAACCTGCTAGCTCTGAGCAATCTGGGGAGCAACTAGCTGACCTTCCTTCTTCACAAGCCTCAAGAAAGAGAGTGTCGTTCTGCAACATCAAGGTGCCAAAGAGACCACCATGCTCAAAGTCCTTCCTACTACTTTCTGTGCATCTCTCTATCCATCTTCCAGACTCCCTCTGAGTTGCTATGTCTAATTTCTGTCAACAAGATGCTGGCTTCACCTCTTGACTCAAGGTTGAATTTACTTACTTAATGCAAATGCAACCTCAGGGTTAAGAGTGTGATCAAAAATCCTGTAATAATATTTCTCTTATCTGATCAGAAATGTCTTCACTTTTATGTGTTTTGAAGTTTTATTAGTAAAGGGTTTCAGAATTAGGGTGCTTGACAAACATTTTAGTGATTGTGGTTCCTCTTTCCACCCCTTTCCTCCTGTATGGCACTGTATTTTAATTTTCCTTGTGGAAATCGTAATATCTTTAGAGCTATATACTATTAGATGTTTCCCTTTTTCTTTGAGCTGTTCTGCAACACAGTATAGATTTTCTTGTTTTACAAATGTATATTTGCCTAGAGAATAGAGAATGCTACTATTTTATCAATTAACAACCTTTCTTTTCAACAATTCTTTACTTTATAGAACTACACAGAGAAACACAGGGATCCCTATGCTCATCAAAAATATCTTTTGCCAAGCATGCTCATCACAATAATAAGGGACTATAATAGTAAGTTGAAATAGAAGGTAGATTTGTAATTTATATATCCCTAATCCCTAATATGAGGTCAACTTACACAACATCATTGAGCTCAAGCCTGGTATCTGGAGAAGGATTAATCAGGATATAGGATAGTGTGCTTTGATGATCATTCATTTCATCTGCAAGATAAATAAATACAATGTCTGTTAGGATTCACACAAAATCCCAGAAATCATTATATTTGTGTTTAAATCATGGAGTTATCAATGGGAATTTACAACAGTTGCTTTTTGTTGTGTTTTTAATGGATGGAAGTTTAGTTTTCACTTTTCTGTCATCTGAAATGTTGGCAAAGTACCTACTTTTTGTTCCAGTAGATGATAAAAATGAAGTATCTAATTCTGTTCAGTGTAACCATAGTTACATTCTCTCCTGAAAGTCATTACAATTAAATTTTTTCTACTAAACAAATAGTTTGAGATATTTACTTGATTCATTTCCCTTTATAATAATTAAAAATAATTAGATGTAAATATCATTATTCTATCCAACATCATAGAACATTGATATAAAAATCTCCTGAAAAATAATCTAGTCATATATCAAATATATTTTAAAGGTATTAAAAACTGTGATATATATATACATATATACATATATATATAAATATATATATATATCTTTAATATGCAGGCCTTCATGGCCTGATTTTTTTTTAAGAATACAAAGAATCCATTGGAAAAGAATTTAACCTTACATTTTAAGGATATTACAATGGTAAATATTTTCTTTTCTTATTGATCATAATGGGAAGTGCGGGTCCTGTGAGATCCCTGAAGTCAGTGTCCTCAGAACACTGGGCTTTGTCCTGAGTCAGTTCTTCAATGAACAAGTTATTTTAAACAAGTAAGTCTTCAACCCCTGCATCACACAAGTGGGCTCTATATCTTACTCTGTAAGGTTCTTTTTTATCTCTTCACCCATTCTGATGTGATATAGACAAGAGGACACCACAAAACACCGAAATTGACCCTGTATTAGAACATTGACCTCCAATGACTTAAATAAACATCATTTTTGAAAAAGTACACAACTTCAAGTGTCAGCAATAAGAAGCTCACCAACACAAAAGAGGACAAATGTAATCATTTTTAAAATGTGAAAAACTTTGTAGATCTTGATGTTTAACATTCTAAGTGCATTAAAAGACACAACAATAAAACCACTTGGATACATACTTCAATGATTACCCTTTTTTCCAAGGATAAAGTATGTCGATATACTTAAAATCAGAACAGTCTAAAGTATTAGTATTCATTTAGTTACTACACTTTTAAATAAATATAATTCTTGAAAACAAAACTGTATTATTAAGTTTGAAGAAAAGTTTAAAATTATTTCTTACCAAAGAAAGTTTCTCTCTCTATATATATATATTTCATTAAAGTTCATGTTAGGCCAGCATAGCTAAACCTAATAAACAATTTGCAATACTGAAATGTTATTCTAACAAAATAATGTTATTCATTATATTCATTTCAGTAGAAATAATGTTCTTTTAATGTCATAATATATTCTGCTTTAGTTCAATTGATATGCAAACCTTCTTTAAAGCCTATAAATCAAAGTTAGAATTCTACAAGACAGACAAATTAGAGAATAGATGAGCATACCAAAAGTTTAGCAGTAAAAATATTTCAATTCCAAACTGATTAAATTGATGTTCAAATAAAGTAATATATGTGGTTGTTAATTGTTGGAATAGATCAAGAAATACAACTGTATCCTCCCCCTTTAGGATCAGAGTTGTCAAGAAAAGCAAAGAATACCCAAGGATCTATAAACCACAGCTAACATCTACAAACGAACAATTTATAACAAATATAGCTTAAAGATGTTATGTAAAACCCTAAATTTCTGAAGCACTGAAAAATTATCTAAAAGTCAAATGCACTGGGAATCCAACATATTTATTTGCTTAACCTGGGATTCATATGTAAGGATAGATGGCTAATTCAGTAGACTGGAGTTTGAAATCCAAATATAAAAATGACATTTACTCCAAAAATAGTTACCAATCAAGCATAAATTACATTATATTGACATGAGTTTATCAAGATCATATATCTCTATGAAAAGTAAGTATCATTCATGCATTCTTCTTGATAAAAAGTATTCTTTTAATATGAATTGTAACAAGTTCTTTTCAAAGGAACTCCAATTGATGGTATTCTCTGGACCCTAAGTCATAACACTCTGAAAGGCAGTAGCTATACTAGAAAAATCTCCATTTCATTTGGATGTGAGCAACTCAGTATCGACAATAAACAAGAGTGGTCCTGTACTGCAGTACAAAGAAGACAACTCTACTAAAACACCTCTTGCTCAGTGTAGATATCCAGCCACATTCTGTCATTAACAGAGTGCTCTTCAGTTGCTTTTGAATAAAAGTCAAGTGGCAGTGGTGATCTCATTTGTTTGACACAAATGAGTCAAGATAATTATGAGTTTTCCTAAGAGTAGATGCAATTATTTTATCAATATTTTGATTTTCTCAATTAGCCTATTTTAACAAATCAAACTGAACATGTTAATTGTGCAACTGGCTCTCAGACTGATATCAAACATGTCGATAATACACTCAGTGATTTCACAAGTTTTAAATCAAGGCATACATGTGGCCACAATCAGAACCAGAATTTCCAGTTTTTTTTTTTTTTTCTATACTCCTCAATGACTAGCCCTTGTGGAGTGGAATGCCATCATTTTGATTTAGGTTAAAAGTAGTTGTTGAGTTCAAAGCCGTTCTTTCAAGTCTGCCTTGCAATAGAGCTCAGCTTGACCACAGCTTGCCTGTCTCGCTTTGTGTAAAGGCCTGCTGTTTCCTTCTTCTCTTTGTGATTTTGCACTTGAGAATTAGTAAGCAAGTTTTAAACTCTATTTTAACTCGCTTCAAAGAGACATTCATCAATGTTTTATCGGCCATGCACTACTGTTTTGGTATCAAATAGTCATTTTCTCTGGTTATATTTTATTTCTCAATTCTATAAGGATAAATATAGTAGGTTTGATGTATTATTAAGAGCCTGACATAATTATCATTAATCATGGCAGACATGAATACATATGGTTGTGCCAAAACTAGAATATAATACTTACTAAAAATTGATTTGCATTATATTTGGTTGTATGAAATCAGAGAATCAAGATTCATCAGAAATGACTAAGAATCACAGTATATATTAAGAATATACTGTGTCCAGACAGCTACACTCTGGCCTTAGAAAACTAAAAAATGTCATATGCTTAAAATTAGTGATCCTGAAATTGTTTCACACACAGTGGAAGAAGGCAGGTGATTCAACAAATGGTGATGACAAAACTAGATATGCACCGTCGGATCAATAAATTTAGGTTCACGTCTTTCATTCTATATAAAGCTCAATTAAAAAGAAACCAAAGACTTTAATTTAAAACATGAAATGTTGAAACTTCTGGAGGAAAGCATAGGGGATACACTTCAGGATTGAAGTATGGAAAATAGCTTCCAAACAGGGCTTCAGTGGGTTAGGAAAACAGTGAACAGACTGCATTACACCCTTGGCACAGCCAAAGGAATGAAGAGACGGGCAACTCTACTCACAGCTGAGAGAAAATCTTTGCTGTGTACGTCAGACAAGGGGTTATTAGCAAAAACTTATGAAGAACTGCAAAGTAAAATGCTAGTTCCCTAACAATTTGAAGAAGGAGGTGATAAAACAAAAATACAAATAATAAATAATATTATTTAAATAAAAATTAAACAAAAATATTTTTTTTTTAGTTTTTGAGACTATAATATAATTATACCATTTTCCCTTTCCCATACTCCCTCCAGCCCTCAAAAATCCCACATCCTGTCTCTCTCTTTCAAATCCATTGACTCATTTTCTTTGTCATTCTGTATTGGGTATGTGTGTACTCTTAAATACAACCTGTTCAGTCTGTTTTATGCAACTTGTTTGTATATAATTTCAGACCTGATCTTTTGGTATTGGATAACCAATTGGAGTGCTCTTCCCCAGAGAAGACTATTTCTCCTGCTCTACTCATTCCTTAGTTTCTTGGAATTATTTGTATAGGGTTGGTGCTTTCCCTCTTCTGTATTAATAGTGTCATTCAAACAAACATGTTTCGGAGACTTTATACCTGACATTTCCATTACACACAATTTTACAGAAACTTTCAGGAGTAGTTTTATAGATAGATAAGATGCAACATATTACAGAAAACTACAATTGACCAACTTTTTAAAAGTGATTAATATTCTTAGCAATCAAGAAACGGGAATTAAGGGTAAGGGTGAGTTAATAAAATTTAAGAATATATAAAGAAGCCTAATGGACTGACACTATTTCATAAGCCAATTACAAATTTCTTTTTCTCTTCTTTTTTTTTTGAGATAAGGTTTCTGTGCTTTGGCTGTCATTGAACTCACAGAGATCCACCTGCCTCTGCCTCTGCCTGAATTTATGTCTGTGTGAGGTGGTTGGATTCCCTGGAACTGGAGTTACAGACAGTTGTCAACTTCTATGTGGGTGCTACAAAGTGAACCTGGGTCTTCTGGAAGAGCAGTCAGTGCTTTTAGCCCCTAAGTCTTCTCTACATTCATCTAATTTTATTTCTTAACACCAAATTAGTAAACAAAGCTGTTTCCAGAAGGCATGAGTAATTAAATGAAAGTCTCATAGACATGCATGTATTAATTCCCTATGTGCTATTGGTCAAAGAGGCCCCAGAGTCAATCAAGATAGTACAGGCACTGGCATTGTGCTTGGATGTCCGTCATAATTAGATAACTAGTCTCTTTTGCTGAGGAAATCATCCACCTTGTTTTCAGGACGCAAAGAAATTGACCTTGAGTTAACCAGATCACTCTTCTTTTTCACTCACTGCACAGTGCTAGAAGGTGCTAAGAAGACTGCTGATGGAAAATACCTCTTGGTCTTATGCAGCATTGGATTTAAATCTGCAAGTTACAAAACTGACCTAGTAAGCGAAATGTTCCTGCAGGTTCAATAACAGAAAGAATCTTTATAATGGTAATTAATTGCTCTCTTGATTGGATTTGTAACTTCAATTGGAGGGAATACATGCCTATTACTGTAAGCAAACTCAAAACCCATGGCTAGGGAAGTAACAGACTTATTTATAGGTCTATTCTGCATCTATTAATAGGTTTTTATAAATGGTCATGCTGTTAATCTGACTTCTAAATATGTTTTATTCATACATTTACACTGCTCCAATCTTAATCAGAAACATCATAGTGGGAAATGGGTAATTTAGAGATTCATTATTGTTCAGTGTGATAAGAATAAGCAAATATGAGTGTTCAGTCATCAATGGGACTTCTAGATCAAGCCTCACCCACTAGACTCCAGAAATATTTCTGTAGAGGTGGGCAAAAGGAAAGTAAGAGCCTCAGGATGGCGAGGAGTGCTATGGAAGTCATTGCTTTTGCATACATGAATTTATAATACCTGTGGTTATCTGCATAAGGGTTACACAAGATCAAGCCTCTTAAACATTACAACATGAAGTGGAGAATACCTCCCAAAACCTTATCCTAGCTGAGGAGCAAGGCAACAAATGGCTGCCAGGGGAAGAAACCACTTCTTTAGCAGTGTGGTCAATGGTAGGCTTTCCATTTTCAATCGCATGACCACACATCCATGGCAGCACTAATTGGACTTAGTGAGGTAAAGAAACAACAAAGAAGCTATAAAATAATGTTATGTTGGGAGAGAGATATGAGATCGGGATTCTGGGAGGAGTGAGAGTGTGGAGTGGTTCTTTGCACTGTTTAAACTTTCCATTTCATTCATTTCCGGCATTCTTTTAATTGTTTCCATCTTCTTCTTTAGGGTTTGGTGTAATTTTATTTTTCTAACTGCAAAGGAGCACCCAACACCAACTAATTAATTTGTGTTCCCTCTGCTTTCTTGATGGAAGCACTTAAAGCAATAAACTTCCTCCATACAACTATATTCATTATGTTCTAGAAGTTTTGTTTTATTGTATTTTCATTTTCATTTCATTTTACAAATTTTTAAAATCTTTGTCTTAATTTTGTCTGTGATGCATTCATAATTTAATAGTAGACTATTTAATCTCTATGAGATCATGTATTCTCTGTATTCTATTTTCTACAATAATTTTCTGTTTCCATCTATTGTAGGAAGAATACAAGAAGTTACTTCAAATTTCTAATATTAGCTGGGGTTTTCTTTGAGTTTCTATTTTACAGAAACTTCCATTGGTCATTTTGGTGTTTGCACCAGAGATGATTACAATGAGATTAGCAGGATTTTTCACTATGTGGGGGTACATATTGTCTTGGTTTTTTTATACTGCTTGTTTATTTCTGCTGTGACCTGTACATGTGGCGGTAGGTCACTGGTTGTCTTTTGATGTGAATTTTTGCACAGACACATATCTACTCTTCATGTTGAATGGAATTTAGATCTCTATTTGCTTTTACCTCTCATTGTCTGGGTTAGAGTCAGCTAGAAGATACTGGAAGTACAACCATGTGACCACTCAATGTTGATTCATTAGTGTGGTACCTGACAAAATTCAGTTCATCTATGAAAATATAGAGCCTCTGGCATTAGCAGTGAGTGCTCAGCAAAAGTGAGTAGAGATGGGTTATATTGCAGGGCTGGTGGCATTTGACTTCTGACCTGGAGGGCAAACAGGTGCTCAGTGTCTGGTCTTGAGAAAATGGTGAATTGGACTTTGAAGGTTTGCATAGTTGTGGTGTCTGACATAAGGCTTGCACAGGCACTCTAGGCAACTGATAAATTAGCAATATTTGGGGTTATTATGGTAGCTGTAATGTGGTTTCTGTTTGGTGGTATTTATATCTACTATACCTAAGCAGCTGCCTCTACTATTAATGCTTCTCCAATTTGGTTACGAAATAATTTTATGGATATAGTCCTCTCAGTGGTACCAATGACAGACTACCAGACTTGCAGCATTGCATGTTTTTATACCAGGGAAATCATAACAAGACAAATGTAGAAAAGAAGGAGAAAATAAATGAATGGAATGCCTTCTGTTATATAAGAGTAATCATGAGCTTAAAATCAACTAATTTCCATAAAAATAGAATGAACAAATCATAAGAAAGATATTCTTACAAATCCCTGCTGCTTTCTTAGGTGATGCCCATAGAGTCAGCTCATACATTTGCATATTTCTAACAATCAGGAATGTGATATGCAACCCTGCTTATGGATTGATTAACAGGGAATTAGAATGTTCTTGAGACAGCTGAGATTAAGATGAAGAATTATTTGCTTGATATTCTCATTAGAAGAAAGTAATTTAGGGACACATAAAAGGTAAAAATAGAAAATTAATTTACTAGAAATTGAATCATCTTAGATGTCATCAAATTGGCAAGTAGTCGTTAGTGAATTTCTGAAAGATCATTCTGAGCTTTAATTTTACTTTTTAATGTTACATATTACATGCATTTTTATTAAAATTCCTGGACAAAATTAGTCTTCACCACAGTTAAAAGAAATATAATTACAAACGTCAATTATAAAAGTAACTGACTGGAGCAAATTTAAATGCAAGTCTTTAAGTAGGGCAGTCTACCTCAGAGAGGAAAATAATGAAATTTAAATAAAAAATCACTTTTAAGGAATTATGAGGAAATGCACACAATTTCATATGACAATACTCAGTAAATATATTTTACTTTACATGCTCAAAAAAGAAAAACAACTTTTAAATTCTAACTCAGTAAATAAAATGTCTTAAAAACCTTATCTCAATATAATAGTAATATATATTATATAAATATGTAATTACTATAAAAACTTTATAATAAAGAGAAAATGTGGACTATATGTGTGTGAGAGACAGTTTGTGTGTGCATGTGTATGCATTAATGCATACATGTAAGTATAGATAAACAATGAAAACTTCTCATTTATCACTGGCCAGTTGACTATTTTTATAGTTTTATATTTTTTGAGAATTTTATGCTTGATGTTTGAATCTACATCATTTCTGTCCATTAATTTCCTAAATTCCCCAATTCCCTTTCCAATATTCATCATTTTAAAAAATTATTATTGTTATATATGCATATCTATGCATATATTTATACACATATACATACATATATACATCATACAGACCGTCCATTTTATTTGACTCATATGTGCATGTATCAAGGGAAATACTTCATATTGAACAACCTATGTGGGAATTTATCCTAAAGGCAAATAATTCTGCCTCTCTCTGCAGTCCCTGGCCTCCAGTTGTTCTCCATGTATCTCCACATATCAACAAAGAATTATTTTAAAAGCTTGTACAATGTTCATTAAAACACTATTTCTATTACAAAAATAAATCTTTTAAGACCTCATCCCTAAAGAAAGAACAACTGAGAAAAAGAGGGATCTGAAAAGTTGGTCTTCACTGGGGAAGAGCATACCAACTGGCTGTACAGAGCCAAATCGTCAGCCCAGAAAATATACATACAATGACTTCGTAGGAACTAAACTGATTATATTTAGGAACACACGTATATATGCATGCAGATATATGAATGCAATAACAGTTACAGGAAGAAGAGGCCTTGAATTTAAAAAGAAATAAAGCAAGAGGGGTATATGGGCTAATTTGAACAAGGGAAGGAAAAGAAAAGAAGTCATAATTATATTAGAATATCAAAATAGAAAATAAATAAAACTTTTGAAGTCTTTAAATAAGAAACTAAATACAATTTTTAAGTTCATTTTGATCTCCAATGGCTGTTAGAGTTAGTTACTTACAGTACTTCAAATTCATTTTATCGACAGCCGCAGCTTAGATGGGTGTGATGTTTGTGCCTTGTATGTGTTCGTTTGAGAGAAAAAGAGAAAAATTACACCGAAATAAGCATTTATAAATCTCAGCCATGTGTAAGAAAATTTAAAAGTTTTCATAGCTCCAAGGTGGAAACTAAATCTATCTCAAAATTTTTGTTTAAATTAAAAATGGAGTGTTCTTGTAATAGGTTCAAACATTGCCAAGTGATCTAAATAAGTGCTAAACATTTTAGTAATAATCTTGTTTGTTCCCGAAAAGATGAGATATTCATCAAAGTGCCATGTACTTGCATTTCCAAACAAAATTCTAGTTCTTTCCTATATCAGAGCCGTGTGTGACCAGTAATAATAAAAACTGAGTCTCCCATGTATAGTTTTAAGAAGCATACCATAGCCCACCGTAGAAAGGCCCAGGTGTTTCATCCTATTTTTCACAAGCTCAGCAAGCTCCTGTCTTTCGGACCTCCTGTAGAGGTTCAGTCGCTGCTGGGTTATTTTCTCTGCAGTTTTCCCAGAATGCTTTGGTCCTTTTCTGCTCAGCCTCCTAGCCCATTGCATGCTCTTCCTCCGCAGCAATGGATGGTCTGATTGGTCACTGGAGGTTGAGTTGCGATGCATGCTGCGGTGGTGCCCTGGCTCTTTGGCATCTTTGGTGTCTTCCCACTCTTCCACACTGATGGATATCTGAGACTTTAAGAGAAATGCATATTGGGAATTAGATCTTGAGGAAAAGTCTTTGCTATAATGGAAATCAGTCACTTTTATGATATTGGTGTAATTGTATATCTACACATGAGATTTTCCACTGGATAAAGAAAATCAAGACATTCCATTCTAATCATAATTTACAAATTAACTTGTAGAAACGTTTCTGGAGCTTATTGTTAATAAATTAAAACATCTGGATCTTCTTAGTATTAGTCTTTTAGGAAAAGACAATGTTATGTGTGGTCATGTGTAACTTATTTTTCTGCTATAAACGATTACTAACACACAGATACTTGAAACAAAAAAATAACTTCATTTAAGTACAGTCCAGGCAATAGGCAGGCTACATTTGCCACAAGTGTTTTAGATGAAAAACAAACAACCAATATAAAATCGGTTTGGGAAAATATCTAATTTATTTTAAATTAATGATCCTTCTGTATATGACCATGAGATGACTTTTATAAGATGGGAATTTCTCTTAATTTTCATATGCACTAAGAAAAACCAAACAGCTTTTTTAATTCATGTATCTGTTATCCACCACATAAAACACTTTTGTGATTAAACTTTGTTTCAAGACATCTGCATTAAATCCACTTTTTCTCGAATGTCTTCAAGTATAACAACTTATAGGAAAATCATGCTTCCCTTCATAAAGAAATGAACCCTGAGGAACCTCAGCACATCTGTTCTAACCTGTTCACTTTCTGTGGATTATCTAACATATTGCCATACAGAGAAAACATTCTCATCTCTAACTTTGAACTAAAGTAATGACAGTAATAATTTGTTGTGGGAGTAACTTCCGCTGCCTCAACCAATAATCACTGAAGCAGGAGCCCACAGTGCAGCGGGGAGCGACTTCCGCTCCGTCAGCCAATAGCTGCTGAAATACCAGCCCACTGGGGCGTGGTATATTTCTCTTTTAAAAAGAGAAGCAGTTCCGGATAAGGTCTCTCTCTTGGTTCCGGCTCTTGGTTCCGGTGCTCGGTCTCGGCTGCTGCTCCCGGCTCCTGCTCCAGCGACTAGGCTCCCTTCCTGACGGTTTATGGTGTATGTAAGTTTTACCCCCCGCCAAATAAATAACCCCTTAAAACATAACTGGTGTGGGATTGATTCGTTAATAATAATTGATAAGAAATAAAGTTTACCCATAGAGTAAATAGCATTGCTGATATGCTCCTGTTATTAAGCCGCAAGTCTATTGTGTGAAAAGATATCTATTTGTGAATTAATTTCCTACTGTCTCTTCACTTGATGTTTCTCACTCATATTCTGTGCGGGATTAAGCATCCCCAGGCAGGAGACACAGTGAAGTGCAGGAAATGAAACACTGTTTTCACTTTAGAGACTTTTCCTGAACTTCTGGTTTGAGGATTAGAATAATAGAGGGTTAAAGGCAGGCATTCTGGGATCACACTGGACTTGCTTGGTTTAAATTTCCACAGGCTATTTAACATCTAACTTTCTTGGTTATAAAATCTAAACTCTCTGATTGTTTAAATTTTCCTTTCTGAAAAAAAGCAGTTGTTATTACATTGGTTTTATCTATCAGTCTACTTATTAAATCAAAGAGACAAGGCATGGAGTTTAACTCAGCCAGGGTTCATTATATACATAGTAACGTGGCTTGTGACCCTGCTGGAGAGAAGAGTACAAATGGAAAATGGATATTAAACAGTGAGTAACAACCTTGCTATTTGGTTAAATGTAATGAATTTGAAGACCAAAAAAATACTTTTAGTAAATATATATGTATATTTTCTATAATGTTCACCTCAGTTATTCTGAAAGAGAACTCTGTATTTTTATATTTTTATCAGCAGAATCTCCAATGCTTGATAATAGGAAAAAGAGGGCCACACACAAAATTTTGATGTGGGTGTTGGGGTTGCCAGCTCAAGATGTTATGCCCGTGCTGTTATTTTATTTTAAGTATATCTCTACCCCATCACAAGTATACTTTCTGTGAAATGGTTTACGAAAATTTTATATGTGTATTATAATAAGTTTTTACATATTTAAATTCTTATTTTTAAATGGCACATTATTTTCTGAGATTCATAAAACTTGTCCTGATTTAGAAAAACAGTAAACATATGTCTTTACAAAAATAATAAAATGTGTATTTAAAATAATAAATAATTTATACCTAAAATAGCATTCTCACCAAAGAAAAAATCCTCCAAAATGAAATTGTAATTCTAAACATCTATGCATAAAACAGAATGATACCCAAACCGATAAAAGAAACAGTACTACAGCTAAAATCACATATTGATTTTTACACAGTGATTGTGAGCAACCAGTAAACCACGTTTTCCAAATCACAGGTCAATGAGACAAAATATAAGCAAAAATTCTGTGGCCAATTGACATTATAAACCTAAAGTATCTAATAGATAATTCAAGAAATTTTCACCCAAACGCAAAAATAATATATCTTCTCAAAAGTTCATGAAAGTTCCTCTGAATCAACCAAATATGTGAAAACAAAGAAAATTTCAATACATAAAAAAAAGTAAAAGAAAAAAGCAAACAAATAAAACAAAACAGGAAAACCCACTGCATTCTATCTGACCATCATGAATTAAAGCCTGACACCAACATCAATGGAAACCTTACAGACTCATGGAAACTGAAAAACTGACTAAAAATGAAACTTACTCAAGACAAATTAAGAAATTAAAGTACTTCTAGAATGGCATGAAAATGAAAATAAACATACCCAAACTTATGTAACACAATGAAAGAGGTTCAAAGAGCCAAATTAATATAGCATTAAGTCCCTACATCAAAAACTGTAAAGATGTCATAATAATAACTTAACAACAACCCTAAAATCTCTGGAAGAAAAGAGGAAATCATATCCCAAAATACAAAGTATCCAAAAAACTCAGGGATGGAATTAGAAAATAGAAAAAACAAAAGAGAACCAATACAAAGAATACATGAAATAAAAAATCGGTTCTTACAGAAAATCAATAAATTGACAAACAATTGGACAAATTAAGCAAAATGTAGAGAGAAAATACTGAACTTAACAAAATTAGAGACAAAAGTAGGATATAACCAAAACTGAGGAAATCAAGAGAATTATATGGACATACTTTAAAACCCTATACTCCACTAAATTGGAAAATAGTTTAAAAATTGAAATTTTCTTAAAATATAGCACCACCAACCAAGACCAGAAAAGCAATTTAAATAGATTTATAAGACCCATTGACATAGACGCTGTAACTAAATGTCTCCAAAACAAAACCATTCCACGGCTAATGGCCTTGGCACAAATTCTACCAGAGTTTCAAATAAAAAATTAAAGACAATAATTTTTAAATTATTCCATAAAATAGGAACAGAAGGAAAATTGTCCAATTCCTTATTTGAGTTGCATTTATCCTCATAACAAATCCACATAAAGACCCAGCAAATAAAGAATTACAGTGAAGTTTCCATTATGAACATATATGTAAAATATTCTATGAAAAACTTGTGAACCAAATATAAAAATACATGAAATGAATAATCCATCTTGTCAAGTAGGTTCTTTCCCAACATTGCATGAATGACTCATGATATATAAATTGATAAATTAAATTTATAATATCTACAAATTGAAATACAAGAAAGCACATGATCATCTAATTAAACACATACACATGCACACACAAAAACACCTTTAACAAAATACAAAACCCCTTAATGATACAGGTTTTGGAGGGAAAAGGGATACAAGGGACATATATCAACATAATAAAGGCAATTTACAGCAAGTCCATAGCCAACATCAACTTAAATGGAGAGAAATTCACAGCATTTCTATTCCAATCCACTCTCTCGCTACCACTTAGTAGAGTATTTGAAGTTCAGAGTAACTGAATGAGATCAATCAAGAGGATAAAAATAGAAAAAGGAAAATTGTAAGTCTCTTTATTTCCAAATGATATAATTATAATATTATACCCTAAAATGTCTATCGGTAAACTCTTACAGCTGATAAGCACTTTCAACAAAGTAACAGGAAATAAAATTAGTACACAAAAATCAGTAGCCTTTCCCAATACAAATGACAAAGTGTTTGAGAAAAAAATTAGGGGAACAAGAGCTTTGACAAAACCTCAAAAATTTCTTGGGATTATTCTAACCCATCAAGTGAAATACTTGTATAATAAAAATTTTAAGACATTGAAGAATATACCAGAAGATGGAAAGCTTTCCTATGATCATGGATAGGTAAGATTAATATAGCAAAATTTGCAATCGTTCTAAAAGCAATTACCAGAATAAAGAGAATTCTCATTAAAATTCCATCACAATTCTTGACAGATCTTGAAAAGCCCACAGTCAGCCTACTATGGAAAAACAGAAATACTCCAAATAGTTTAAACTCTCCTGAATAATGAAATAACTGCTGGAGGTATCACCGTTCCTGGCTGCAGATTATACTACACAGCTATAGTAGGAAAAGTTTATATATATTCACTAATATGTGAATGTTAGGTGTTGTCTTCAATAAGTAGGCTACAATCTACACAACCACAGCAGTTAGATGTAGAGTAAGTTACTATTTGTGTGTGTGTGTGTGTGTGTGTGTGTGTGTGTTGGATCTCCCTAGGAAGGGCAAATAGAATAAATAGTTACATATGGATGGGATTGGGTGGTAAAGTCTGAAGTTAGTAGATCAAATGGGAAGGAGAATGGAAGACGGATATGAAGGAGATAATATGGGGAGGAACAGGTAAAACTAAGGACTAGTTGGGGGGCCACATGGAAACCTAGTACAGTAGATGCTTCCTAAAATATAAACATACATGGAAGTGATTTAAATGGACTCACCAAACAACTAGGGAGACAGAGTCATATTAGTCATATCTTATCACAAAACGAGTCACCTAGATTCTGGAATGGGTTACCTCTAATTTTATTGTTGGTTAAAGGGAACTCATGGCAAACCTCAAACAACCCATCTGGGACAG